TTATAGACATTATATTCATATGTTATCTAACGGGAAATTTCTTTGCGTATCAATATATTTTTTAGCTCGTACAAATGGTCTATACACGGAAAACTGTCCAAACTTAATAAATAATTATAACAAACGTGGTTTATAAATCAAAACATATAAAAACAGGGGCATGAAACCACAGCACTGGATGTTGTTTGTGAAATTTAATAATTCATTACATTAATAAAAAGATGTTTCGGCCACAATCTGGCTATCTTCAGTAAAATCACAAATAATAGAACAAATAATAATACACAATGTCACGATGAATTTCCATCTGCGTGAGGAAAATGCTTAAGATTCATCATTTTGTCTGTAAAACAGAATCTAGAAATTCTTATTCTACATAACTTGCAATATGATAATTGGCTGCAACCATGTTGTATGATGCACCTTCACAAGATGAAAGAACACATTTATACATATTTATATTTTTGATGGCTGAATTTAACGTCAGATATATGTAAATTCCGCGTTTTACTGATATTTGTGATTTTACTGAAGATGACCAGATTGTGGCCGAAATGTCTAAAGATTTTTTATTAATGCAATGAATTATTAAATTTCACAAACAACATCCAGTGCTGTGGTTTCATGCCCCTCTTTTTATATGTCTAAACTTAGCTGCATGAAGCACAATTACAGAAACAAAGGCGTTTTCTTATGCACGTGTAACTTTTGTTTGGCTATTGTAGTCGCAGAGATGAAAATAAGAGCCGGCAGGTTTTCGAGAGCCAATATTAGGAATGGTTAAATATTTTCATACAGGGCACGACTTCGTTGCTACCTGACTCGGTATGTAATCATTGGTCACATATCCGCGCCCGCGCACCATGTCAGACACGTGTTCTTCGCATTTGCTACGCGGGAAATACTGAATTGATTTTTGGCTTTCCGCGAGTTTCGAATTACGTGCTTCGCCGCTCTTCGGAGAGTGCGATCGACACGGTAATTGAAATGCGAATCAACTAGTTATGAAGTTACATAGAAGTTTTTCATACATCTTTGTTATTCGCAATAATAGGATTTTAAAGATTCTTCCTCTTTTTAATTTTTTCAAATATGAAAGAAAAATTATAAATAACTTTTCATAGAAGCAGATGTTATTTATTTATTTTTTTTTTATAAAATTTTTTGAAAGTATCGCATTATATAACGTATAATATAATAAATACAATATTATATATTATACGCTAGAAACAGTATAAATTTTTTATAAATTTTAAATGTATCTTCAAATACATCTTTCTTACAAAAAAATTATCGTGTAATATATGTTTTTTTCAGCCATCATTTAAATTATAATACAAATTAATAAATGATAATATGAAATTATAATATAAATAAAATTTTAATTTAAAATATAATTTATAAGCTAAGAATCTGAACTGATTTACTTTTAAGTAAAGATTGTGGATAAAAAATTTTATTTTTGAATTAAAAAAATAAGATTTTTCTCATGCAAAAATATTGATTAAAATCGAATTTAATTTGATTGTGAGCATATTTTAATTTTCAGTTTCCTTTGAAAAATACCAGACTTTCTATTTTGATTACAATTTTTAGTTATTTTAAAAACTGTTCTACGTTTTTTTCTCAGAAGTAGCAACAAAACTTTAAAGAAAATTAAGTAGCAGGAAAAAGAATCTCTGTTAGAAGGAAGAACTTTTTTTAACAGAATAAAAGATAACAACACTACAAAACTGCAATTGAATTTTCTAATTCAGAAAAAATGCAAAAACGCAATAAGAAATACTAGAGATTTTTTATTACAATCTTAAGCTATTTGGAAAATTTGACAGCAATTTGCAGATTGTTATCACTAGAGGCAGAAATTTAAAGAGATTTTTTTAAAGAAAAGAATATACCTATATATAACATTCATATGAGAAGAAACTTTTCAAGAAAAAAATGCCGTGATTTTATTCGTACATTTTTCCCTTACTTCTCGAAAAGTTTAGAAAACTTTTATACAGTTATAAATATATTTTTAAACAGTTATATTAAAAATTTTGAAACAATTTTATTAAGAAGTTTTACTGTTGTAGTATATTTACAAATAAAATTAACATTAAAAATTAATAAGTTTAAAGCCAAAAATTAACAAAATTAATAATAGAGATTTTAGCCATATAATTTTATCAAAGCATAATTTTAAAGAGGTTTGCAAAAAATAAAAGAAAATAAATGATATTTATAAATCTAATCATTATTTTACTTAATTTTTCTCTTTTTTATCAATGGTTATATAAATTATCTAAGTTGTATGTATGAGAAATATGAGTATCATATCAGTCAGTTACTAGTAATCATTACAAGTGTTCAATGCATCGAGTTAAGAATCAATATTTTTTCTGTATAATCAATGGTACGACTAATCGTACTTACGAATGATGAGTGACGATGGGCCTACCAAGGTCTAGATAAACTGATGACGTATGTATCGCGAGAATAGTAAGACTCATTAATGAATAAATCGGCCAAGGTGCATCTTGCGTCTTCAATGTATGTGTACAAGGTGAAAGAAATAAAGACTATAAATTGAACGTTATGCAAATATAGATTGATTTAGGAAAAAGAAATTATATCATATATACAACTGTCAACAATATTGAGTTCAGATGTATTTTCATTTTGTTTAATTTTTGGAACACGTACAAAAATGTGATCCAATCTGTTAAAATATACGAGTCAAATCATAATAAATTTTCTTATTCCAAACTCTAAATGACTCAAAACACCTTACCTTTTTTATCAATACAGCAAACTACTTTATAAATTCATATGTCGATCCGATTGTTCGTTTATTTGTCCGTCCGTCTGCAAGATTTCTCAGAAACGTCTTGACTTTTTCAAATTCAGTTTTCGACAATAGATAAACGAGAATTTGATAAAATATAATCAGTTGATTGTAAGGAATTCAAAGATCAAAGTGTCAAAATCAATTTTAGTGAAATTCTTTCATTAGTTTAATGAAATTCTTCTATTAGGTTTATTTATTGCGTTAGTTTATTTCGTTGCGAAGGATTTATTATACTTATATTCATTTTAAATGTAAAAATTTTTGGGAATTTTAAACAATGCGAACAGACTTTATTACAATATAGACATATGAATGCCAATATTGCAAGTCAATGCTAGAAAAAAATTACAAACGTTACAACACTACTTTAGATTATTATTTTCGATAATGTTTCTATTTTTCAAATGAAAAATAATTTAGACTATTTTGTCAATGAATATGAAATAATGTAGACTAGTATAAAAACATATTATATTATATATTTAATGTATATTCGGACGTGAAGAGAAAGAAAACGAAGTGCAAAAAGTACAAGTGACGCGAACAGACCATATGATACATATACCTTCTTTTTTCTATTAAAAAAAAGAAAGATAATAAGCGTGAACATATGTCGACATATATCAAGTCAAAGCTTAAAATTGCAGATTTTGAACAGTATTAATTTATAAAGGTAGCTGAAAATTTCATTTTAATTAAGAAATTAATTACTTTAACATATCAACATTACAAAAAATTATTCTAAAATGCATCTTCATAGATTTTTTAAGCTATATCATTAAAATTTTATTTAATTTTTATTTTTATTAAACAATGATATCTAGAAATTTGGTCCGATAAGAATAAATCTAATTAAATAAGAGAAGTCCTATATTCGGTCAAAGCGGATCTCAATCTACTTTGACCGAATATAGGACTTTTCTTATTTATTATAATTAGATTTATTTATAAAAGATTATTATATTTAATTTAACTTGTTTTTTATTGTACACAATTCATGAAAGACTAGAATGATTTTTTGTTACGAGATAAAATGACGATTTTTCCTTATAGGGGATATTATATCTGGGAAACGATGCTGAGCGAGTATCGATTTTCGCGAAATAGGAGACGATGGACAGTCGACTAGTGGAGTCAATCGCAGATGCTGCCTCATCCATTAAATGCCGCCTTATATCACGCAGGCGATATAGGTCGCGCACGTGCAGCGGCATGCGTTCTGCGAATTTTCCGAGATTCATCGAGTCGAAAACCAGATGACGAAGTTGTGGTTCCACCCACGCAAAGATCGAATTCTGAACGAGGTGTCTCGACGCGTTCCGTTTAGAGAAAGACTTCGGACTTCATTTAAGTCCACGGACTTTTTGATTGTCTTGAGATTGAGACAACAACCAAGTCGCGTAATTTGAAAAACAATTTGAACATTTTCGTTAACACGAAACGTTTATCGAATTAATTTTTAGATTTATGTACTTGATTAATCAGCTTTTAAGCTGTAAAGTAATTAAATTTAAATTTAAAGGCTACTGAGAAATTCAACTTCAAAGTCGCGAACATTCTTTAATTAACTTTTAAATAAACATTTTAACAAATTTCCAATATACATGTGTATATTAAAAAATTGATTATTTTATATTTAATATTACAAATAGAAGTAATGGTCTTTATATAAGAGCAATTGACTTGTAATCGATAGTTTCCTGTATATGCACCAGTTTTATAAAAGATTGGATTGGACGGTTAAAATCATTTCATTTATTCGTTTATTTAATAGTAAATATTAAAAATTAAAAATTTGATTACAAAATTATATATCTCTCTTCAATATTTTGTTAAACTTACAATTACTTAAGAGACGTCGTGTATAAAAATTACTAACTGCCGTGCATAGTAAACATCATATATGAATAATCTTTCCAAATAGATATAATATTCATCAATATTATCCTGTTTTCTAATTGCGTGACAAAATAATAAAGTTTGATAGCTCAACGAAAGCAAAAAATAAATAACAAACAATTTTATTATTTGACAAAAAGCATTGATCCGCAGCAGATCCATATTCCGTAATCACTTCCCTGATTTTCTCTCTTTCCCAATAGAGAAAAAGAATTTCGAAGAAATTCCGAGTTCGCCGAGTCAAGCAGTACGTTCATTCAAAGCTTACCTTTGAACGAATTTCGGACGAGAGTCATGCTCATATTCGCGGGAGCCGGTGCCTTGAGGGTTACGTCCGGCGGCTCCTCTTCCTCCTCTTCCTCCTCCTCTTCCTCCTCCAGCTCCGGCTTCGGTTCCTCGACGTCGCGGCCAGGTTCCGTTCTGCAGCGGAGGGAGGCGTCAGCTCGATTTTCGCCTCACGACGACGAGTTCGTTGTCCATCGGCGTTCTAAGGCACAGCGGCGCATCAACATCGCTGCAATTTCTTCTTCTTCTTCTTCTTCTTCTTCTTCTTCCTCTCTTCTCAAGTCGCCTCTCTCACGTACTTTCAACTTGAACTCTCGCTGCCCTCGCGATACCTCGTTGCGGCGCGCGCATGCGGAGGTCCACCGTTATCACTCCCTTGTCACCCGATCATCTATCCTCTCTTCATCGCTATCACTACAATCATGTGCTCTATCGTGGTTCAAGACACAGACTGATGAGACGAATCGCTCGTTTCATCGTCGCGGCTACGTGGATTCCGACGACGGCAATGACGTTGGGCCGCCCAGAGATCAGATAAACGGCAACTTACTGCTCGATCAAGTGCCCACCGGCAACGGACATGGAAAACACGCGCGTCACTGCTGGTTCATTGACGAGGAAGAGGCACGAAATGCTAAGGAAAATGTGGAGGCTGTGCGAGAGAAAACGAGCACGCTGCTCTTGACAGGACGGAGAATTCCAGTTGTCGAAATTGTGCTCCAACCAGGTTGCTCCGTTTTCGGAGATCCTCTTTGATGGTGCCGAAGAGAGAGCAGGTAAACGACGGGCGGGACCGGCGGCTATCACCAATACTTTATGTGAAGTAAGTCTCCCGTGGGGATTCCAGGTGAGCTTGGTGCCAGGATTCTCACCACGAAGTGCCATCCACTCCGGAACTTGGAAAGTCAGTCTCGGCCGCGCGTCATTTCCTCTGGCTTTTCTCCCTCGCGTCTTCCTCGCGTCTCGCCGTCGCGACGCTCTCGTAATTTTGTGTCGTTGTCGAGACGGTGGACGGTTGAAACGCGCGCGACGACGGTGGCCACGACTACGTTTTGTAAATAATCATTTCACTCGCGCGCGCGTATATCTCGCGGGATCGCGCGGAAACGCCGAAATGAGAGGGAGAGAGAGAGAGAGAGAGAGAGAGAGAGAGAGAGAGAGAGAGAGAGAGAGAGAGAAAGAGGAGAGAGACAAACGAGAGAGAGAAAGAG